TTTCTGTTTAAATAAAAAGAAAGGTTTTAACTTTAGCATAGTAAAATTACATATAACAAAACAGGTATCAAGCAAGAATTATAGTTATAATATTTATATCTACTTTATCTTTTATCATAACTAAGGAAAGTTATAATTATAACTGTTCTTCAACTCCATCAAAGATCCCAGAAGGATATAATATTACCTAACTTAACAGAAAGTTCATTATAAGCAACTTCCAAAGCTCTAAAATTGAAGAGATATCTCACTGCCTAGACAGTTACCCAAAGTTCTTCTGTAACATGGGGACATCCAATCTTCAGCCTCCAGGCCCATAGTATACAGCAGAATTTTCCATGAAGCAGGAAATTTGAAGATCTGTTCTGCTTTGTAATGGCAAAGTTCATCAGTTGCTTTCTTTTGTGTTCTGTAGAATGTCTGGCAGACTCTTTCATGAAGCAGGAACCCCAAAGGATGGTCTCACCTTTAGACAAGTTCAACAGTCAATTTTTCTGTGGGTCCTGCATGTCCAGTTCATACAGCATACCATAAAGCAGTCTAGGAAAGAACAGTTTCTTGTCCAAATGGCTAGCAAGCTTCATAAGAAGCCTCTTCAATGCCTAGCTTCCTCTTGAAGTAGATTGGTGCTGCTAGGTACAGATGAGTCTCGTTGTCATGAAAGTCCTAAGTTTTTAAAACATTTTAAATGCCATATTCTGTAGTCTTTCAAAGGTTTAATAAGAATAACTATCCATCTGAAATATATCTCTGTACCTCTAGAAAGCCTAACTAACATGACTATAAGCTTGACTATTATAGACAACTCTTTATTAACCTGTTTTTCTTTTTTTTTTAATTATTTATTTATTATGTATACAATATTCTATCTGTGTGTGCCTGCAGGCCAGAAGAGGGCACCAGACCTCTCATTACAGATGGTTGTGAGCCACCATGTGGTTGCTGGGAATTGAACTCAGGACCTTTGGAAGAGCAGGCAATGCTCTTAACCTCTGAGCCATCTCTCCAGCCCTTTGTTCTGTATTTCTGTGTGTGTCAAGCAAAATAGGCAGGTCAGCTTAGGGTCAGCCTTTATATAATTTTCAGGCTTCATCCTGAATCATTTTCTTTATATATCAGTTTAAAGCTTAGAGAAATAGTTTTCATTGCTTTGTATTTTCTACCATCTAATCACATGCGTAGCAACTGGGTAGCTTTGAAGCTTCCTAACTAAGTAGGTGTAACTGTCTAGAAATGGGCAAGCTATGTTCCATCTTGGCTACAGGATTTGAAATGTCTGGGAAGCCTAACCAGAAAACGGGGGAGGGGAACTTATACAAGTAAAATGCTTGGATATATTTTAAGTTGTGTTTCCATTCTTACAAGTCCACTCTTCAGTTGGTACTGGAAGACTTACCCCACCCCTGTGTGTCTGTGTGTTATCTCACAGAGCATAGGACCTTAAGGCTCTTTACATAAAAGTTCCTTATTTGGGAGAAGGCATCTTTAAATTTTTATTTCTGTGTATCGATATATTGCCTGCATGTATGTCTGTTGTAACACCTTTGTTCCTGGTGCCTGTGGAGGCCAGAAGAGGGTGTTGGATCCCTTGGAACTGGAGTTACAGACAGTTGTGAGCCTCTATATGCGTGCTGGGAGTTGAGTCCTCTGGGAGAGCAGCCAGTACTGAGCCATCTCACCAGCCCCATAAAGAAGCATTTTAAAAAACAGCTTGTTAAGCCAGAGCTACCTGTGGTCTTGACTGAAAGTGGTAACGAGGAAAGAAGGTGAGTTTCTTAGATGGGCAGAACACCTCCCTACCTCACTAGAGGCCCTGAGTTCAACCCCAGGACCAACCACAACAAAAAGTAGTCTAGTTACCTAGGGAAAAAAAGCAATGGTACAGTCTGTCCTGTTGCAGTATGCACTGTATAGTCCAGGTAGGTTTGTGGCAATCCTCCTGTCTTGGCTTCCTCAGCACTGGGATTTTGGGTATCACCTACCATTTATAGCAGTAGCAGTCATTTCTTAGTCATCTGCTTGCACTTGAATGCAGATGTATCTTAACCAAAATAATAAACTCAATTAACCTTTAGTTATGCACACAAGGAAAGCTGGCTTTTTACCTAATAACTCTGAAGTAATATTAAATTTACTTACTTGAATTTAATTATCTACTCTTATGGGTTAGAGGAAAGAAACAGAAAAAAAAATCAATATGTGATCCCTGTTCTGCTTATCTCAAGACTCTTAGGTACTAATTTTATGTTTAAAATACAAATTGCATTGTACCAGTCACTGATGGACCCACATGATATTTACCAGAGCACTATCAAAAGTGGTCCCTGAAAGAATTGTCACTGCTTTTCAGAGGCCTAAATATTTGGTACGGTAGCACATGCTTGTGACCTCAGTAATTGGGAGGTAAAGGCAAGAGGGTCAGGTCAGTTACTTCTGTGTAGGGCCTGAATTTAACAACACAGACTCTCAGCCCTTTAGTTGCAGAGGGAAAATAATAATACTTATCCTCTGAACCAAACTACACCCGTTTGTTTTTACTCTATGGCTAATTCTTTTTTATTACTTATTTATTGATGTATTTGAGTGCTCTCTGTATATACACCTACAAAAATTACCAGGCAGCCTATTTTTGTTGTTCGAGACAGGGTTTCTCTGTAGCTTTGGAGCCTGTCCTGGAACTAGCTCTTGTAGACCAGGCTGGCCTCGAACTCAGAGATCCGCCTGCCTCTGCCTCCCTAGTGCTGGGATTGAAGGCGCGCGCCACTACCAACCCCACCACCACCACCACCACCACCACCACCACCACCACCACCACCGTGAGCAGTCAGTATTCTTAACCACTGAGCCATCTCTCCACATTAACCAATTCTTTGTGTTTTTATCTCTTCCTTATCAGAATAATGACACTTCTTTTGTAAATAAGAGGAACTTTAAGGAATCTGAGCATTTCTGATAGGGATGGAGGTCTCATAAAGAATTTGAAGCCAGATACAGGGGCACTTGGAAGCCAAAGGCAGTTCTAGGTCAGCCAACAGCTAACAAGGATTAGGAGGTGGCAAGAAGGAACAGCAGCGAATCTCTTGAATTTACAGTTCTCTCATGAGCCCAGTTTCTTAGCCAGGGCCTCAGGAACTTGAGTGTGCATCAGATTCACCTGGAAGACTTTCTGGGCCTTAAGCCTACAATTTCTAGGTCTGTGAATTTCCTTAACTTCAGATGTAAAGCCATAGAGTAAAAACAAACTTCACAATAGTGGTCAGAAACTTATACTTTGAACTTCTTGCCTGAGTGATAGACATTGAGCCAGGCTAAATTTTGTGCCTCCCTGCATTTTGTGTACTGGAGTTAGAAGACACCCTTTGTGCCACTTGTCATAAACTGTTTAGGATAGGAGCCCTGGAGTGCCGTGCACCTTTCATGTAAAAAAGCCACTTGAGAATGCTAAATACAGAAGCAAAGCCAAAAATTGTAGTAGCCTTAATGGTCTTCCCTTAGGGAACTGTGCTGTGTGGCTTATTTACATAATTTTGATCCTTGGTAACATTAGGAAACACTTGGAAGGCACGTGGAGGGCAGAGGATAACTTTGGGAATCAGTTCTCTTCTGTGGATGCCAAGTATCAAACGCAGGTGGTCAGGCCTGCATGTCAAACTGAACACTGAACTATCTTGTTGGCCCCTGAGGACTTTTTCTTTAATGGATTCTGACCTGTGGATCATTTGAACTGGTAGGTGTTATGTGTTTGCTTAAGCAAGCATGCCTAGTGTTTGTTTTAACAACCCAGTGAGCAGGTAGTAGCCTGGTAGTTTCACACTGGTTCAGTCTGGGCCTAGTGGTGCACAGAAGTCAGCCTCTGAGTTTGAGGTCAGCCAAGGCTATGTAGTGAGATCATATCTCAGAACGAACTTTAGCTTTTGAGTCAGTCTTATTCTTTAGCCCAGGATTGCCTTGTACTCCTGAGCTATCTATCCTACTTTGGCCTCCCAAATGCTAGAATTATAGGCACGAGGCTACCATACCCAACTAAAAAACAATTATAATTGGGACCTAGAGAGAGCGCAAGCAGCTGTTTATTTAGCATATATACACATATACACATATATGTACTTATATATCACTACATATATTAATTAATAGTTTAAATAATATATATGTTAAATTTCCACCATTCACTTCAGTTAGCTGTTTCTATAACTCCAGCTCCACGGTATCTAATGTCTTCCTACATGTACTCGTGCAAGCCAACACACAAGTACACAATAAAAGTGACGTCAAAATTTTATTAATCTTTGTGTGTGTGTGCATGCACACACGCATGAGTATTTGCTGGTAGAACCATCAGATACCCCTGGAGCTGGATGGACCTGAAGATGGTAGTGGGCCACATAACATGGCTGCTGGGAACTAAACTCTGGAAAAGTAGGAAGTGCTCTTAAACCTCTGAACTATCTCCCTAGCCCTAAAAATTAATTCTTTTAAGGTTTGACTGTTTAGCAATATATACATCCCTTACTGTTCCTATTTCCTACTGTAAACCATCTCTAGCATATGTTGTAGTCTTGCCTTCCCAGCTGTACAGGTGAATCTGAATGATCTGCCCAGATGGGGATTAGTTTCTTCCATCATGCCTCAATGACTTTCATGAACAAGTGTGTGTGTGTAATTTATAGGTCAGAAGCTTTTTTTTTCTTTTTCTTTTCTTCTTTTTTTTTTTTTTTTTTTTTTTTTTTTTNTGTGAGCTCCAAGGATCCACCTCCCTTGCCTCCATGGTGCTCAATTACAGATGTGTACTTGTGTGTTTAGTTTGTTTTTGTTTTATTTTTTTACATGGATGCTAAGGACCTGAATTCATGTCTTCATATTTGTCAGCAAGTAACTTTACCCATTAAGCCTTCTTCAACCCCAACTATTTGGATGGTTCTTTTTGGCTTTGGTTTTTTGTTGTTGTTATTGTTGGTGTCTTATGGTGTCCTCCATGTCGTACATTCTACATGTGTTAACAAAGATTTCCAAAGCTGGAATTAGTTATTCAGTGCTGCTTCCATCTTTAATTGTCCCAGGGCTCAGTGTTCGTTGGCCAACAATTTAGCAAAGTAGGATTTAGAATTCAGCTGCCTGGCTTCAAATCTTTTTGATAGCTGCATGATGGCTCTATAATCCTAAGCAAGTTATTTAGCCTATTTTAATTTTTCTCATCTTGAAAGCAGCCAGTCCCTACCGCATAGGCTACTTATCTGGATTGCAACTAATTTGACAGCAACTAACAGATAGTGAGCACTTTTATTGTCTGTAGAATACAGGTTTTCTTTTGGTGGGCAGGGATTCAAGACAGGGTTCTTTGTAGCTCTGGGGCCTGTCTTGGAACTTGCTCTGTGGACCAGGCTGGCTTTGAACTCAGAGATCCACCTGCCTCTGCTTCCTTAGTGCTGGAATTATCATTACTCCCAGCTCAACAAAAACTGACCTGATTTTTTAGCCCCGGTTCAATGATTGAGTTGAACTCAGTATGTAGCAGTGTAGCACATGTTCTTTATTTTGTTTGTTTGTTTGTTTGTTTGTTTGTTTATTTGAGGCAGGGTTTCTCTGTAGACCAGGCTGGTCTTGAACTCAGATTCACCTGCCTCTGCCTCCTGAGTGCTAGGATTAAAGGCATGTGCCACTATCTCCCAGCATGATTCTTAATCTTCCTGCTACCACCAGTCAAGCACTGGGATTACAGGTATGTGTCACCATGCCTAGCTGGATGGCCAGTATTGTGAAGTGTTCCTTACTGTGAAGGAAAACAGCCCTTCCCAGTTGTTTGCAAGATGGTAGCTATGATGCCTCTGACTGAATGTCTGCTTATCAACTTAGCGACTGTAGGCCTCTAAAGAGCTCTCTCTCTCTTAACTGGCTTATGCACTGGAAACAGTTATAGTTGCTCATTTAGGAATAAGCTTTCAAGTTCCCAAATGAGGTTGGTTGTGGGTGTACACTGTTGGTCAGTACTGAACTGTTCACCTTATTCTAGAGAAGTTGTGCTAGCCCCAGCAGAATGGATGAGATGTTCCCATTTACCACTGGGATCAGAATCCACTCTTCTCAATTAACTGATTGTTATAAGGACATTAGGAAATTGTTGAAGAGGAACTCTGAAAAGCTGTATAATTGAAATAAAAAATGAGATTGTTGCCAGGCAGTGGTGGTGCATGCCTTTAATCCTAGCACTTGGGAGGCAGATGCAGGCGAATCGCTGAGTTCCAAGGACAGCCAGAGCTACACAGAGAAATCCTGTCTCAAACACCTCCCCCAAAAAGGAGAATTTTATAGGTTCATTTGTTAAGTGGTCCCAGTGTGCTGAGACTTTTTGAGGGCTCTTCTCATGTTGACAGTTCTTGCTGGGAATCTCCCACCTGGGCCCGAGCCAAGCCTTTTAGGGGCCTCGCTTTGGTATCAGGTTGTGACTTTTTGCTGTGGATGGTGATAGCTGTATTGGAAACACTTTCACTCTGACTCAAGAGATGATATGGAACCCTGCCAAGGTATGGGAGCCCTGATAGGGACCAGCCTACTGCCAACCACCCTGCAGACCAGGTGAGCATCTGAGCTAGACGGCATTGCCAAGGGACCGTTCAGGTCCCGTGCTTCCCTGGTTCATATGGGGCCCAGCATTTAGATCCCTTGCCCTCTGGACTAACCAGCTGTCACAGTCTCCTCCTAGGCAGAGGTGCTATGAAAGTCTGCTCTAGAGAAGATCTCAGGACATGGAGCAGCCTAGGATAGGGTTCCACCTTCAAGCTCCCCTACTTGAGGACAGGATTTAGAAATCCGGTGTTCTTTTTCACAGCTCAGAAAGAAAGCTACAGGTGGATACAAGAAGCTTTCCACTAAACTCACTAGCCATACTGCAGCCAGGGCAGCTGAGGTAAATGCGGGCTAGTTAATGAAGCCCAGCAGGAGGAACACAGCAGCAGCATCTCTGGGTGTTGCAAGCAAGTCATCCTGACCTTTTAAAATGGAAACAAAAGCACTTGAAGCTCAGTCTGGTAAGCTGCTGTTTTACAAAGCGTGGTGGTGTCATGTGATGGGTTGCTTCGGTATACTGGCAGTCTCAAGGGCTCACACAGCCGCTGCTCTAATCACCACCCCCTCAACACTGCCAGGTTGGTTTCAGCATCTGTGCTTTAGAAAAGAACAGATTTGTAAAGGACTTGTTGTCTGGAAAGATCCTTTTGTGTAGTTCTGGAAAAAGCAGCACTAAGTATGAAAAGGGATCGTGAATAAAGGATTTTGTTTGGCCTTTTCTTTAGTAGACTCCCAAGGCTTCATCCTGAATCACTTTTGAGAACAGGGTCTACCGTATCTCATTCTGGCTTCAGAGCCTCCAAGAATGACCGAACTGATTCTCCCGTCTTTCATTTTTTCAATTAGAAGACAAAATCCAAATATGAAAATTCATGTTTAAATGCTAGCAACTTAATTTGTTTTTTTTTTTCTAGACAGTTCTGGCTGTCCTGGAATTCGGTATTAGAACTTTGAAGCCAAAATCTCAGATGCTAGGAACTCTCCCTGTGCTACAAAAAAAAGGTCTGAGACAACTGAGACATCGCTGAGATTTGAAAAGCAGTTTGGCCTTGGCAGCATGTAGAGATTTACTTCCACTTTTTCCGAGTGAAAACAGATTTACAGGCAATTTTTTGGTTTAGTTTTTTTTAAACACCAACTATAATCCCATCAGTATATTCTAAAGAAATGTAAACTGTTCTCTTAACATCACAGTGTAAAACAAGTACCCGTATTGTGATAGAGGGCTCCACCTGCTCTGCCCTTGGCAAAGGCCTTGGCCATACAGGTAAAATATTGTGTGCCATTCCACTGGAGCACCGGGTGGACCCCACAGAAAGGCAGCAGAAGGGGAATCTTTTGAAATGTTTCCAGGAGCTCTGTCTACCTAGCTGTGTGTTGTCTTCCAGCCCAGGAGCACAAAGCTACAAGGACACTGATGATACCGCAGAGCTGTTGCCATCTAGGGAAGACCTGGCCTGGAGTGTTGCTGCCTGGATTCGGAAATGTGTCCTTGACTCCATGGAGTAGTTCTTGTAGTTTTGTCTAAAGGGAAGCAAAGGATCAGACACAAGAAGCTTGGCCATTCTGGGAAATTAGGTGAGACACCACCACCATTACCACCCTCATCCATACATTGAAGGGATTCAGGACGAAAGCTGAGCCCTAGTGGTGTCATCTGCCACTACTGTCATGCCCTCTGGCCCATTCCTGGTCCCATTGGTCCTTGAAATCAGGAGACTTGGGTCTATATACCAGCTTTGTAGCCTCACTGCTGCCTGGACTTCTCCCAGTTTCTGGACACCTGTTCTGAGGGAACACAGGTAGAAAATATGGGGGTTGACCTAGCCTTACTTGGCAGAATCAAGGAGTTTGATGGCCTCTTCGTTTCTGCCTTGCTCCATGAACAGCAGGGCCAACTCCAGCAGGGCATTTGGAATCAAGTAGTGGTCATATTTAATCTTCTTTTCACTGCAGAAGAGAAGCAGACATCCTTCAGGTCCTCTTCACTGCCTTCTTGGAACTTCATGTTCTTGGAAAAGCCGGATCCTCACACTGGATCCTGTCATAGCCTCAGCTCACCTCCCTGTTTGTCTCAGCCATGCTTTCTCCAGGTTGAATGACTTTTAAACTGGGAAGCCTGTTCCCTATCTGGAACCCTCTGACCCATGCTCCATACTGTCCTGGAGACAAACTCCTTGCACATCCTTTCCTGACCCCATCTGTGGGGTAGCCTTCCTCATAGTTCTCACCAGGCAGGGAAGGTCCTCACTGTGTGCCCTGTCTCCAGACACTCTCCACTTAAACCTTTCTCTTTTGATTTTTTTTCCTACCTGCTAAACTTCCAAATTTATGTTTTGGTCTCAAACTCCAAGTGCTGGAATTAAGTGTGCACCATAAACATCCAAATTAAACGTCAGCCCTCTAGGCCTCCGGTACCTCACTTCAGCACCTGTGTGGTGGACGAGTTGGCTGGAGTGTGGTGGGGGATGAGCAGCCAGAAGCACTTACCTGGCAGAGATGCTCCTGAAATTTTCCTCAGCCTCCTGGATGCGGCCCAGGTATTTCAGGCACAGGCCTTTCAGCAGTTTGACCAAGCAGTCATCATCTGTTGAGTACTCATTCTCTGAGAACAGGGGTGTGGGGGAAGAAGGTTGGCTTGCTCACTTCTGCAACAGTTACTCAGGGAGCCCCTCTGTGGAACCCAGGACACAGGTGAATCAGACAGTTCACCTCAGGGGACTCACATCTGAGAAGAAAAGACAGATACTGAGATAATGGCTCCAGAGAGAGTTAGGAGTAACTGGAGGAATCTCAAGAGGAGGCCTGGACAAGGAAACAAGGGACACTTGCTTAGAGGAGCTAACACTGGTCTTCTAAAAGACTGGCTACTGGGATAGAGGACAAGAAAGGACATTTTTGGCAGAGGACACTTCAACTCAAGACCTGACATAGCCTGGCAGGTTCAAGAGCCTGAGGGAAATCACCTGGGCCCATAGCCAGCATCTCTTCAGCCTTGGTGATGACCTCGAGCATCTCATCAGTGAGTTTCGGCTGCTTCCCAATCACAGCGTAGCCGTTCCAGATGTACATCATTTCCTGAGAGCGAGTGGGGCAAGTCAGTCCTGATCTCTGCCTCGGCAGGACCTCAGTTTTCCCATCTGTCAAACAGGCAGCTCAGCTCAAAGGTCTGAGGCCTTGGATCCCTCATCTTCCAGAGTCCAAGCCTATGGAGGTGTAAGGCTGAGGGCATTGTGGAGGCAGCCCCACCAGGGATTTGTTAGAGAGCGCTCCTGTATTCCATGAGGATTTCGGGTGGCCTGACTGCCAATAGGTTTCAGCTACCTTACCTGCTGTAGCCACTATGGTTGTTATCATGCCTTCTCTATCCAAAGCAAGCCCTTCCTGAGGACTGGGCCATGCCCAAACTGTCCAGGAAGCCCTCTCTGCTCCAGTGGGCAGGACCTCCATACTGGAGGAAACTATTAAGCATCTCAAGACAGTGGAGCCTAAGAAGGTCACCTCTCCCTAGCAGGAGTGGGCTCAAAACAGTGGAGTCTAAGACTGTTAGAGTCACATTTCCTAAGTCATCAAGCCAGGTAATGGATATGAATGCATTTATATAAAATTGTTACACAGATTCTTGTTACAGTGCACATTTAGGTCAGTGTTCTTTAAGTTGCTCTGTGGTCTCAAGATAACTAACTGTAAAGGCTCTAGGAGAAATCAGCAGTCTACATCCTGGTTTGGGCCTGTCCCTCCCAGTGTACTCAATCATGGACCACTTTCTACATAAGTAGCATTTAAATTGTGGGTTAAGTCACATCTGTCCTTCCCATAATACCCTCTTCCTCATTCAATAGTAATAACTTTATTGTACATTTTAATTTTTTTTTTGAGACAGGGTCTCATGTTTCCCAAGCTGGCCTCGAACTCGCTATGTAGGTTGCTAACCCTTCCGCCTGCACCTTTCAAATGCTGGGCTTACAGTGTGTGCTACCGTAGTCACTCTGTAAAATACTTCAGAACTTCGAGGATAGACTTACACGTTCTAAACAGAACAAGTAGGAAAAGGTCAGCTTAGGAAGTATTTACACAAGTCACCAGTGGATTTTCACACCTCTGCAGGAGCTGGGCCAGGTGCCAATGGAGACACTTTTTCACAGTAGAAGGCCCCTAAGCTTACACACCATTGCCCGGGGGAGCTGGGTCTTCAGTTTGTCCAGCAAGCAGAGCAGGGCTCTCTACTCTTCTGAACTCAGCTTATCTGATGCCAGCTCCAACTATGCGTGGAATTAACCTAACAGTGGCCCTGAGTTCTAATCTTGAGGTTCCACCTGTGTGGGCTAGACAAGTTTAGCCTTCTCTCTACTGACCTGCTTTAAGCCTTACACCCCCTTCCCCCTGCCATGCAGGCTTTCTTCAGTCAAACATAACTAGCTGAAACGCTACCCTTGCCTCAGAAAAGGTTGATCTAATGAAGGCTATAGTAAATAGTGATTAGAATCCTGTCGCAACAGAACCGTCATCCTAGGAACAAGACAGCCAGGTGATCCTTGGCTGATGCTTGGGGCTGGAGTGTTGTCTAGTACCTAGGAGAGTGGTTCTTCCTGCCTCGAGGCATCTGCAGCCTGCTGACCCTTCTTCCCACACTGGTGACTTATGAAACCCTCTCCAGTCCATTCATCCACCTGCCCCAGAGGTTGTCTTCCTACTCACCAGAGCAGGGATTGGCAACGAGATGGGGTTGGGAGAGAGGTAGCGTCTGGACTTCCGGATGGCAAACTTCTCTGTGGGTAGAGATTTCCCAGCAATCTTGAGCTTCAAGCCTGGCACAGCCCTTAAAAAGAAACGGGGAAAGAAAGGCTAAGGGTTTGGCTCAGCAGACATGTTCAGTTCTCCAGCAGCAACAGGAGCAGGAGTATAGGGAGAATGGTGCAGGTCTCGAGCCTCAGTTTCCACACGGTGTGGTGAGGGAATTTAACCAAAAAGCATTTCAAGGTGTGAGCCAGCCTGTGGTTATGGTCTCATTTCATAGTCCCTGCATGGCCTGATTGCTTGAGAAGGCTCCAGAGCTGGCAGTGTGAGAATGTGCCCAGATATCCCTCAGGCCTGCCTCCTACTTATCTCCCCTCGACGCCCAGGCCTTCCTGGGAGGGTCCACAAAAGTCTAATCCCAGTTTCACAGGCAAGACCAACACCCGGGGAAAGGGAGGGACCTGCACAAACAGTTCAAACCCTTAATTAGCTCTAGCCTCCTGAGATAGGGCCTCAGCTGTTTCAAGGATAGAATAAAATGCACACAGCTAAGCATGCCTCGGCTGGAGCCTCACCCACGACCAGCTGCCTGGCCACTGGGTGTGGCTGGGATCTTAGACCAGGAGCCGTGTGGGCTCAGGAAACAACTGGATGGGTGAGGCCACCCCAGATTCCTTGCTGCTTATTTATTGCAGAACCTCTCTGGGTCTGTTTTCCAATCTCAGACGTGTAGCTCATAACCACCTCTCAAGCTTTCTGGGGGAATTGTGTGAGCTGGGACAGGCACTCTGTGGGTAAGTGCTCCTCAGCACTAACCAAGGTCTGCCTCGTCTTCATGGAGGAAGGCTCTAGACTCCTTCCTCCAACTCCAGGCTGGCTTGCTAACATTGACTTCACAAAAGGCAAGTAAGTGATAAGAGAGCAATGAGAATAGCAGCACTCTGGGGACAGTCCTGTAGGTCCCAAGTTCTACTCCGGGATCTTCAGACACATTCCCAACTGAAAACTACTGTTTGTCATCCCTATCCTAGGAATTGTCCAAGGTGTCCCAGCTGGGAAGTAGATTTAGTTCTGGGCTGTGCTTCTGGGGCTCTAGCTAACTTTCCAGACCTCAGTCTGCGGGCTTATATGAGAATGTCCCGCATGAGCTCAGGCATTTGAGCTCCTGGTTCCCAGCTGGTGCTGTTTTGGGGGAGGTTTAGGAGGTGTGACCATGCTAGAGGAAGCATGTCGCGGGGCACAGCTTTGTTCTTGCTGCACCATGCCTGGTGTTTGTCACCCTGCCACTCCCCCCTGTGCACCTCACACCTCACCCCTGCCACAATGGACTCACCCTCTGGAGACATAAGCCAAAATAAACTTCCTTCCATAAGTGACCTTGGTCGTGATATTTCATCAGGCATCGGAAGGGACTAATATAGTGTCCCCATCTGTCCTAGTGACCAGATGAGAGATGACGAAACACAATCACAGGGTTCTAACCAGCAGCGACACTGGCATCCATGGCTGGAGAGGAGTAAGGGCACAGGGCACTTCGAGCTGGGAGTGCCTCTCCTAGCACTACAGAACCTGACTGATCTGCTAACAGGAAGGCCTACCTGAATAACTCCACCTCGTCATCCCCGAATGGCTTGTAGTCTTCCTTCCCAAACATGCTGAGGTAGGCAGCCTTCATGTAGATGTAGGTGGCCTGTGGGAGACAGCAGCAGGAAGATAAAGCAACCCTCCCTCTGATCACAAGTACCATGGCTGGTCCTCACTGGGGTCACCAAGTCCCCAGGGGAGATTGCTGAAGCAGCCGAGGAATTGTGAGTTGTGGCTCACCCCCTAACTCCATCAAGAGAAAGACCTGACCCATGCAGGCCTGTTGAGACAGGGAAGAGGTGGGGTGAGCACGGAGGGGTGCTGCTGGGAAGTGGTGACCACAGGTGCCCTTGAAGGGTGATGGGAAGATCCTCAGACTCATAGGTACCCATCTGAGTGGCATGCACGGGACTCAGGTGGCTTGCAGTAGGGACTTTCTATGTCAGAAGAGTGAACAGGGCCCTGGCAGGGCTCAGTGGGAGACCTGCGTTGCTCACTTACACCTTCCCCTCAATCTAGCCTAAAGAAAGTGTCTAGAAGGACCCTGCCTGCTAGATCCAAAGGCCACCTGATGGGAAGTGGGGAGCTCTGCAGGCATCTATCTGCACAGCAGCACAAGCAAGGCTCTGGGGTGAGGATTAGAGGCGTTCGGTTCTGTGCTGCCCTCAAGTGGCCAAGTTCTGAAAAACCTGCCTCCTAGGGCAACTGCCAAGGAAAATACTTGCCAAAGGCCAAGAAGTGCATGGAGAAGGAGAGGGAACCTGGAATCTCCTCCCGCACCATCCATGCTGGAACACAGAGGTGACCAACCCTTCAACCGGCATCCACGCTGCTCTTTGAGGGTGTATAACGGAGTCTCCTCATGGAACCCTGAACGTGTCACTCGTCCTCCATCTGCCCCTGACATTCCAGGGACGGTCCCTCTTGTCTAGCCTTTTCCTTTTAGATTGAATACCTGAGATAGCTTCTGAATATAATAAAGAAATGGCATTGGTACATATGTTCCAGTCTAGCCAGTGGCATAAGCAATGGAGAGTTCACAGCTTTCTCACTGGGGTGCAGCCCCAAATACAGCTTACTCAGGGTTTTGAGCTAAGAATTTTAAAGCTGACAGAGGTCCTCTACTTATGAAATAACCAGGTGAAAAACCTTGTGATGTCCGGGAAAAAAACCTTTAGAAGGTTTGTCTCACTGGGTGGTGGTGCACATCTTTAATCCCAGCACCCAGGAGGCAGAGGTAGGCGATCTCTGAGTTTGAGGCTATTCAAGAGTTCCAGGACAGCTAGAGCTACACTGAGAAGCCCTGTCTCAAAAAAAAAAAAAAAAATGATGCATGTTTCTAACATGGTGGGCAAGTACATCATGAGTTCAAGTTCATCCTTCCCTTCATTGTAAGTTTGAGGCCAGCCTGAACTAAGTGAGACCTTACACACACACACACACACACACGCACGCACGCACGCGCGCACACAGAGTAAAAGTAAAAACGGCCATTCTAGATAGTAGAGTGGTGGCTTCAAACTGTGACAACCCAAGTTCAGCCCAGGAACCCACACAAGGATGAGAGCGGGGAGCAGATTCCTCTGACCTCATACATCCCGGCACACCCACCCACAGTCACACACAATAATAATTGACAAAATACAAAACTTCTCAAAACAAGAGGTACAGGGGCTGGATAGATGGCTCAGAGGTTAAGAGCACTGGCTGTTTTTCCAGAGGTCCTGAGTTCAATTCCCAGCAACCACATGGTGGCTCACAACCATCTGTAATGATGGCCTATAGGCAAACACACAGGCAGAACACTGTACATATAATAAATAAGTCTTGAAAAAGAGAGATACAAATAGACAATAAATAATTGGGAAAATGTTCAATACCCTTAGCCATAATGGAAATGCAAATCAAAAGCTACATTCAAGAAAAGCAATGACAACAAATGCTGGAGAGAATGTGGGGAAGAGGAGCCCCTGCAGACGGCTGGTAAGAGTGTAAATTGGTGCAAAGCAGCGTGGAAATCAGTATGGTTATCCTTCAGAGATAAAAATAGAGCTTTTGTATGATTGAGCAATACACCCCTGAGCACACATCTAAAGGAGTAAGCTTCAACGGCTACCAAGGCCTCGCTCCCTCCAGTGGTCTATCCTGGACTCTCAGTGTCAAGCCCCAGCTGCTGTTCGTGACTCCCTCATGCCTTCAAACCCAGTACCATCTGGTGACCTACACATTATAAAGTTCAGCTGCGAGTGCAAGGGACAAACTTGGTGGCCTCTGGAGCACAGCCCGTGTGTGCTGACTGTGAAGAAACACTTCCCAGAAGGCTTCACCTCACGGATGCTGTCTCTTCTTAATCACCTCTATTTCTTAGCTGCAGCTGACCAGCATCAATTGTCGTGGTAAAGCGGAGGTTTCCCTTCAGCAATTCTGGTCTTATCATCACTGATTCTCTGGCCCCAGCTGACCAGAACCACAGATTCTCAACTCAAAATAACAGATGGTCCTAATAGTCTTTAAGTGACTTTAAACTTCCCTTTGGAACTTCATAAACCAGGCCTCCATCGTCTACGTTACTCTAAATTCTTACCTTCCCGGCGCCCACAGAACAGCTCACCAAGCTTTGAACATTCAGTGGCTTTTCTAGCCCCAAATTCCAAAGTCCTTCCACAGTTCAGGTCTGTCATAGCAATACCCCATGATCCTGACACCACTTTGTCTTAGTTAGGGTTACTACTGCTGTAACCAAACATTGTGACCAAAAGCAACTTGGGGAGGAAAGGGTTTATTTCACCCACACTTCCATATAACACTTCATCACAGCAGCAAGGGCAGGAACTCAAACAGGGCAGGGGCCTGGCAGCAGGAGCTAATAGAGACCATGGAGAGGTGCTGCTTGCTGGCTTGAACATCACTACTGACTCAGTTTGCCTTCTTATAGCATCCAGAACTACCAACCCAGGGTGGTACCACATCAATCACTAATTAAAAAAAATGCCTAAAGCCTGATCTTATGGAGGCATTTTCTCAATTGAAGTTCCCTTCTCTCAGATGACACTAACTTAGGTCAAGTTGACATAAAAACTAGCCAAGACAGAGACCCCATCTCAAAACAAAACAAGAAAAATAAAGAAAGGAAGAAAGAGAGAGAGAGAGAGAGAAAGAGAGAGAGAGAGAGAGAGAGAGAGAGAGAGAGAGAGAGAGAGAGAGAGAGAAACAGGGCTGAAGAAGGCTCAGTGGGTAAAGTGCTAGCTGCAGAAGTCTGAGGTCCTTAGTTCAAATCCCAGTACTCACATAAAGCCAGGTGTTGTTGCAAGTGTCTAACCCAGGTGTCTGGGATGGGAAGTGTGGCAGAGGGCACAGGGCAGACACAAGAAGATCTCTAGAGCCCACTGGCCAGCCCACCCAGCCGAAATGGTAAGGTTCATGTTCAGTGGACAGACATCAACTCAAAAGATAAGGTGTAAGGCGATAGAGAATGCCATCTGGGAACCAGCATCTGGCCTCCTTCGTAGATCCATGTGCCTAATATGTGCTCTGGCACACAAACACAAATGAGCTAGTGAGCAATAACTGCCGTATATGAAAGATAACTAATATGTGCCTCATATATTCAGGGGGAACACAGCCCATAGGTCATGTTAGGGGACAAGGGGACAGACACAGATGGAAACTGCTGAGCCACAGGAGGCGCTAACCAAGGATGCTGGACAAGACTTTAACCCAGCCATCGCTCTGCCCCAGACCAGAGGGGCCCTGTTCTGCAGCCCACTGCGGCCTGAGCAGTCCTTCTTCAAGACACACGTGACCCAGCCTTGATTGCACACCAGCATTGTCCCTGACAGAGGACTTCTATCCACTGGAAGCCAACACGAAACATCTGTGTGCTTCATGTTTCTAGAGGATGAGCCTTCAGTGGGGTCTTTGCTTTGTTCCCTCTGGATCCAGGGCCTAGGCTAGGGTCTGGCACCGAGAGTGCCCAGCAAGCACGGACATTCAAGGCCCTGTATGCCAGACAGCTATAGCTCAAGAGCCCCCTCAGACCTTCCATGACCAGCCCCAGACACCTCTGCAGGATCACCTAATACTGTTTCTTCTCCATCCCGCTACAGCCCTCCGGGGCCTTTGCCTGTGGAGACATTTCCTCTAATAGCTCCCTCACCCTCGCTGTATGACCAGCAGTCAGGCTGGGGTATATAATGACGTGTGCATAGCAAGTCATCCAAGGACATGGTGGGGGCACAGTCACCTTCCTGATGTGAGTCCCTTCTCCCCAGGGTCAGCTGTTTACCCTCTAATTCCACAAGTGTTTCCCTCACTGGAGGAGGAAACCCAGGCTGTGCCAGGCAGACAGTGCCCATCTTTGAGCCTCCAGCAGCCGCCAGCGGAGGGAGGATCACGCCTCCAGCACCCCCTCACCGCTCCCACAGCAAAGCCCCCACCCAGTGAAGACAGAACCCTGGCAGTGCCCTCACCCCCCAGTCCTTGTTTCCTGTTCTGGGTTTGCCCTCTCTCTTTCTCTTTTCCCTAAATCCTCCTCCCTGACTCAGCCCAGAGGTTTTGCCTTCCTGAATCAGCCCTCTGTCGCCTTGGTGGGTCTTCCAGGGCTGCCTCTGGGCTCCCTGCCTCTGCCTTCCGAGGACTGAGCTGTGCCACACCAGACTGCTACCATCTTAGCCCCAGGCTGCAAGCTCTGGGCAAACTCAAGGTCTCCTCAGGGTGAACTTTCAGTGATCCCAGCAGAGGAGGAGCTGAGTATAGGAGGTGGCATATACGGCAATGTCCACAGGCAAATCGATCCCTAGAGTTGGAAGCTGATGATGCTGTGGTGATCTGGTGCTGGAGAGCAGGAAGGGATCAGGCCCCGAAACTGATGCCGTTTTTAACCTATCTGAGGAAGGTAACTGCAGACAGAGGAAAACTTACTGCCCCAAAGTCATACAGAGAGGTAGGTATTCCTCACAGCAGACTTGTCAAGCCTAGGAAGTCTGGCCTGCCCTCTGCACCTCACTGTGTCTGTGTGGCCTCACCAGGCCTCCCTGTACCTGTGTAGGTGGCCCCTGCTGCCTGCCTCATGCCACAGGAAAGATTCTGCAGTCATTTAATTCAGGAAGGTTCCTTAAGGCTTTGTTCTTGCTGGGAGGGGGACAATGAGGGATGGATGTGGCCCAGAGTTAGGTCCCAAGGATGGACCTTCAACAGCAGGAAAGCCTCAAGGCAAACCCTCTCCTCAGAAGGAAGTGAGCAGTTAGGAGAAAAGCAGCTCCCTGAGAATGACCCCAAATCCACTGTGTACCCCAACAACAGAGTTGCTCACTTCTACCTTAGGGGGTATGGTGAAAAAGGAAGACAATCGCTAAAGACACAGGGATTTCTGGGGAACCTGCTTCCTCGGAGCTCCGTCAGCTCCAGGATTTCACTTCAGCTTGGTCTCGGTGCCCAGTAAAGCCTGGAAGAGCCACTGGCATGCACAGGCAGAGTGAGAGAGAGGAGATGCGGGTGACCACTGGGTCTCAGGATGTGTGTCAGAGCAGAGCCGCTCTAACAACCGCCTGGAGTTCAAGTGGCTTCAAAGGTCATGGAGGAGGCTAGGGTTGATTAGCAATGTCTGCCATGGACAAGGGAGAGAGTCACAGGGGTAGGTGTGCTATGTAGCAGAAGGGACACTGCAGACACTCGCTTCAGAGTTCTGCGCTGCCCTCACTGTTACAGGCACAGCGCTGGCACTGTCTGCACTGACTTTAAGTCTGGCTGTGTTGGCGGATAGATGCCTTGTTTGTTTGATTTTGCCTCCGTGGCAGATCTGTAATATTAGAACTTCCTCCCCACCTTTTTCTCTCACCCTTCCGGTCATACCGCCTCATTCTTCTTCTGAAAACACACTTCTTCTCCTTCTCCCTCCCGCTCTCTGGAGGGAACCTTCTCCCCCACTCCAGATGCTGACCCAGATCTATGAGGCTTAACGACGGGCTCTGGTGGAAACTAAGAGGGAGATGTAATTTGGGGGCAGCCCTGGCCACCTTGCCTGTCGTGCGAAGAGAAGCGGCCTGAAACACAGCCGTCAGAGAAGAGAACCCAACTGCGGGTGGGGTGGCTAAGCTGGATGATACAGTTTGAATCCCTGGCGTGGGGTGAGGCCCAGTCACTTGAATTACGCAAGCCGCTGGTGTTTTAGATCTGTTTGATTCCAGCGACCACCAGACCCACTGGGGCTATGTGATTAAACATAAATAAAATGTAAGCATTCAGTGTCTCGGCTGTGCTGGACACCTTCCATGTGTCCTTGTGGCTGGCATGCTTGGCGGTGCCAAAGAAAACAATCCCTGCCGTAGTGGGCAATTCTGTTGGACAGTACATGCTTAGACAGGTGACCACACAGCTATATGGACACAGCAGAGTTGAAGGGACAGAGTAGCTCGGTGACGAGGAGGATGCTTAGAATGATGGACAGGGCCTGGATTCAGTGCCCAGCACCCAGTCAGCCTTTCTGCTTGGCCCAGCTTTCAGCTCCTCCCAACCCTGAGTCCTCCTTAAACATTTGCTTCCATTTAGAACCCAGCAGACACATCTGTGCGTGGTCGGGGATCTGGCCCATCTGGGGGACCCCTGGCCACCCAACACCCTGACCCACAGTGTCAGCCCACCTTGGACCAGGAGTTCTCCTTGCTCAGCAGGTCGGCGTAGAAGTAGGCCATCTTCCACTGGCCCTTGTAGGTGAAGCACCACATGAGCTCCCAGTAGCACATGTGATGGAACTGCTTCCAGTGCTGCTGGGCCTCGCAGCACTCCTCGAACCGCCGGATGGCCTGTGGGCAGCTGCAGGTCAGCCTACCGAGAGTCTACCGGGCCCCAACACCTTCCGCCCCCCTTAGCTCCACAGCAGGGAGGCCTCCTGTCCTGGTTTCTGACTGTAGGGATTTGGTCACGAAATGAAAGCATGGAACAGAGAGCATTGGTGTGTGTTGGGGGGCGGGGGAGGGGGGCGGATAGGGCAGGGCGCACAAGGTGTTAATACTGCAGTGTTTGCATTGGTGTGCTTATGTCGATGGATGTAGAGGCCAAAGGTCAACCTCGTGTCTTTCCTCAGGAGCTGTCATCTTAGGGTTTCTCTGGAACCTGGGGCTCCCCAATTATGCTAAGCTGGCTGGCTAGCAAACCTCAGGGATCCATTGCTTCCCCCGCCCCAGGACTGGGATTATAAGCACATGTTGACTTTTTCACATGGGTGCTGGGGACTAAACTCAGGTCGCCTCTTCCTGTGCCATCTACCCAGCCCCAGAGTGTGTCAATATTATACTGATATAATAGTCTGTGCCTCAGAGAAAACGCCCAAGACTCTAGTGGTTTCCATGGTTACCCCACCTGGGGATTTACCCCGGCAGGCCTAGCTGGAGGCTTCTGGGACCCTACAATGTAGTCTTCCGCATTGGCGTAGTACCCTGGACTTGGCCCTGACTGTGACTTCCCTGTCTAGTGTCTTCTGTGGTTCTTTGCCCTCCTACCTCACTACCCTCACCCACATTCACCTTATCCAGCCTAGTCACCATGCCCCAGACAGCTTTTCCTGACTAGGAATGCCACAAGCCTGTATCTCTTTTATCAAAAGCCTACAGCACAAACGCCACCCCCTCTCCCCAGACCATCCCAGTCAGGAGTGCTCCTCCCAGCCCTGCTCTTTCATGGGTCTCCCTACCCCCGAGAATGCTCCTATGTGTCTTTCTCGCTGGGCTGGGACATCCCAGGAGACTTCCACATCACTCACAGCGTCAATATTTCCTTTGATAGCTTCAATCCGCCCGGCAAAGAACAGGAAGATGGCACCCTGCAAAGAGACTCATGAGGATGGGGTGTCCACCGGGTACAGGTGGGATGGGGTGACCAGCGGAGGGTGGTCTCACCTTGGGGTATCGGTTCAGGTAGGGCTTCAACAGCTTCTCTGCTTCCTCGATGTTGACATTTCCAGTACCTGCGGGTGGCAGGGAGACGCGCTGCTCAGGTTCCCACTGCCGGGGCCTGTGCTCCTCCTAGCAACCTGCCATGGCCTTCTTGGGGCCTCCGTCTTTCCCTCTGTGAAATGGCACGATTCTCCCTATCTCTGGGGTGACAGGAGGCTTGAACAAGCTAATGTGTACACTGTCCGGGCACATCACAGGCTCACTATAACCTGGGAGCCGTTTCTGAGTCTGCAGTTGTCATCTTCACACCTTCCACTAGGTGGCACAATCACCCTCATTTCACAGAGGAAACCTGCGCAGGGAGGCCAGGAGCAGCAGGCCCAGTGGACCTGGTTCTGCCTTGTCCTGGGTGCCTGAGCAGGGTCAGCCTCTCTCGCACCCAGAAGCCCGCCACCCGGGCACACCGAGTCTCCTACCGAGCACAAAGGTGAGGAAGGTGTGGTAACACAGCAGCAGCATGACACACAGCACTGCGCGGAAGCTGTGCCCGGTCGCGCCCTCTTCCAGCTGCAGCAGCCCGTAGTCCTGGGGGGGGGGGTAGAAGACAGGCTGGGGTTCCCAGAGAGTCGCGGGGTCCAGGTGGGCAGTTATGAGGGAGTCTCTGCAGTTGTGAGAGAGTCTGTTCTCCCGAGCCAGGAGCGGTGGCACCAGAGTGGTGTCCCTGAGTCAAGGGCTGCCCTCCCCCCCAATCTCTCCATCTGTGCCTACTCTTGACCCTGTCATGGGCATGGAAGCCAACAGTGCAGTCTGCTTGGGAAGAGGAACGACCTGACAAAAATGACCCTAACTACAACTCGGTGCTGATGGTGCGGAGAAGCCTGGGGCCCAGAAAAGCTTTGGGGGGGGGGCAGGGGAGGGGGGAGAAGGTTCCAGAACCTCGCTGGGACCAGCACCAACCTGTGTGTGTAGTCTCTGCTCCCGTCTACCTTCCTCAGTATCCATGCCCTTTCTCAAATACAGGCCTGGCGTGCCTCAAACCCTCCACAGCTGGCCCTGGTTTGGAGCAGGCTTCACCCAAGCTTCAGCTGCGGGTGAGGGTGGACCTTCCCACCACAGCCTTCCTTCCTGAGACCAATCCAACTGCCCGCTCCAGGGAGCAACCCACCAGCCCCTGGAGCCGCCAGCTGTGGACCCCAGACAGGGGACGTCCCAGGGCCAAGCATGGGCCTTATGGGGCCCTGAGCCTTGTGGCCTGTTTCCCTCCTTTGTGCTCTGTCCTTTTGATGATGCCCTGGGAAAGCCCTCACACACCTCAGACTTCATCCACAAAGGGAAGCCGCACACTCAGCCGTGGCCAACCCCTCATCTATTTCTGATGACTTATATGACTCTCTTTAGGTTTGTTTGCTGAGACAGGGTCTCGCCATGTATGGCTAACAAAACCCACCATATAGACCAGGCTTTGAACTCAGAGATCTTCCTGCCTCTGCCTCCGCACCCTGAGTGCTGAGGACCATCACGTCTGGCTCTCTATAGCACTCTTAATGCTTTTTACATGATTAACAAAGATGGATTTGCCGGGCGGTGGTGGCACAACGCCTTTGATCCCAGCACTGGGGAGGCAGAGGCAGGCGGATCTCTGTGAGTCTGAGGCCAGCGTGGTCTACAGAGCGAGTTCCAGGACAGCCAGGGCTACATAGAGAACCCCTGTTTTAAAAAACAAACAAACAAAAAAAGCAAAGATGGATTTTGTGTAATAACATTTCCTTTAAAAAATGATGTCATTGGGCTGGAGAGATGGCTCAGAGGTTGAGAGCACTGGCTGCTCGTCTAGAGGTCCTGAGTTCAATTCCCAGCAACCACATACATGGTGGCTCACAGCCATCTAGAATGAGATCTGGTGCCCTCTACTGGCATTCAGGCATACATGCAGGCAGAATACTACATACATATAAATAAATAAATCTTTAAAACAAAATAAAAATGATGTCATAGCCAGGCAGTGGTGGTGCACGCCTTTAATCCCAGCACTCGGGAGGCAGAGGCAGGCGGATCTCTGTGAGTTCGAGGCCAGCCTGGTCTACAGAGTGAGTTCCAGGACAGGCACCAAAGCTACAGAGAAACCCTGTCTCGAAAAAACAAAATAAACACATAAATAAATAAATAAAAGATGTCATTTTGGGAGAAATAACAGGTAAACCAAAAAGCAGTGGTTCATATACCTGTCAGATATCAGGGAGAGCCACAGAGGACACACACCAGTAGCTTCAGGATAAGGTGGAGCCTCTTATGTTCACAGAAAGGGGGCTCATGGGAGAAAGGGAATTACTTGTCTAGGGCCACAGGGAGGAGGAGGGAAGGAGGTGGGGTTGTTTTATGTCTTCCTGGACAGTGTTCCTTCTACCCCACTGGTGACCTGCTCAAGGGGACCTCCTCGGTCTGCTCCCTCCAGTCCCTGCTGGTGTGCAAGGCCTCGGCCTCAGTGAGTCCCCTGGTTCCTCTCAAGGTCTAATGTACAGGGCTCTCTGAACACTCACAAATGAAATAGGGGCACCAAAAGATGACCCTGGACGAAAGGATTGGCTCAAGGCCTTGAAGTGAGCAGGTGACCAAGTGGGGGGGGGGGGAAAAAAACAGGATCCTGATACAAGTCATGGAAGGACGGTGTGGCCTCTGGTCCCTCCAGGGCTGTCCTCACATCTACCCTTATCCCACAGACCCTCTATCCTGCGCCGGGCTGGGAGAGATCTGTGGCCTCAGAAATCCTGAGGGAAGGCTGAGGCTCAGAGAGGTCTAGACTCTTCCCCAGGGCCACACACAGAGGGAGCTTGCCACGTCCACAGCAGTGACTGCCGTGTAGTGACAAAATGCCTCTGCGCTGGCTTTTGCCTGCTGAAGGATTGGGGTTAGAGCTTCTTGGAGCGAAGCCCCAGGTGGTCCCCCTGGCAATCAGCAGTCCAGAGAGGACCTGATGCCCTAGGCAAATCTCATATCTGGAGATGGCCCTGAGAGCGAGCCCTCCTGACACCTTGCCTGATCTTTCTCTGTATTTCTCAATTTTCTTGTTTATAGCTGACGGCTTAATAAGAGATCAAAGTAAGTCGGTGGCTCGGCTACACGGTTCATTAAAGAGGTAATTGAGGAACTGAAGTATGCCCCACGCCACATGAGCCTGGGAAACTTTATTATTTATGAAACAGAAGCGGCTAAAGTTGATATGTTATGAGGGAATCGTCATAGTGAATCAGATTTAGAGAGAAAAGGAGAGTTAGAGAAAATTCCCCTTTATGAAAAGATTAGCTAGATCTCAGAAGCCCTGGAGTCTTTATAGTAAGAAGGAAAGAAAGGAAATTATTGAGCTTTAATATATTGGTATAGGAACTATCATGAGAAAATGAGAAAACTATTAGGGGATATGGAGCAAAGAATAAAAACTATGTAGATGGAAAGCTAAACACAGGACCCTGAGAACTAGTCTCCCACGGTAGAATGTAAATAATGGTGTGAGACAGAGTTCTAAGAGACAAAACAAAACTAAAAGTCCTTGCCAACATCTTGAGCACGTAGAGGGGAGTACGTAGAAAGGAGCACGTAGAAGGAGCTCTATTTTGATTATGCTTAGCCTTGATTTATGTCTGGAACCCTGAGTGGGGTGATGTAATGAACCTGCCAAGTTCTTTGATCTGTTTTGTACAAAAACTGAAGCTTTACAGAAGTAAAATTGCAGCAGATTTTCACTACACAGTGTGTCTGTCTGTCATTTCCCTTGCGTCGTATCCTGACTATCCTATCCTTCACCTTGGTCCCCCGTGGGTGGTGGTCTCCGAGAGGGACGGTCCGCGGCAGGAGCTCAGTCAGAATTGGCACCAGGCCCCATGGTCCCTCAGCCCCACTATGTCGAGCCCAGCTCCAGCCCTGGACTGGGCGGACGGAGGGTACCCAAAGGCTGGCAGTTACCTTGTTTCCTGAAAACCCGACGAACTCCAGCAGCCTTAGGATCCTGGTGGGAAGCATGGACAGCGTCTGTGGGATCAGAGGCAGTGGGTGTGTGGAGGGTCACCTAGGGAAAGTCAGAGGGCCCCACCCACGACTTGCCCATTACCCAGGCAGCAGAGAGTGGCCACCTCTCCCAGACCTGTACCAGCCTTTGCACCATCTCCCAGGACCAGCTCCTTTCTCCACAAGCAGGCTCAGCATTTCCATGTGGCTCCAACCCAGCCCATGCTGCTCCCACTGCCTGGAACACCCTTCCCTGCCTGGAACTCTGGGAGGATCTAAGAGTCAGCTCAAGGCTCATCTTCCTCCCCTAGAACTCTCTCCAGTGGCCCCGAAGAGAACTTAGATCCCCGTCCCCTGTGGGTTACAGCTGTTTTCAGGCCTCTCTGTTCTGACCCCTGGTAATGTTTAACAGCCAGCAGTCCAGGGCAGAAGCAGTCTGAGTTTCTGGGTTACCAATATCTATGGCTATAGTTAGCCCACTCAGGGATTCAAGCTGCCAAGTAGGCACACAGATGCACACTTAGACTCTCTAGAGATGTCACCCTCTATGACACCCCAGTTTGAAACCCTGGTAATATTTAAGAATCATTTCTAGGCCCCATGCCTAGCACACAGCCAGGCCCAGTGGCACACAGTGGTGACTTTATGTGAGACAAGGCCATGCAGGGGAGCTGCATCTGGCCCAGGCACTAAAGACATGAGGGGTTCCCACTCACCAGGTTGAAGGCTCCTACACCAAGCTTCACCCCTCCTTCAAAGTGACTATGGCTCTCTCCCTTGCAGTACTGCGAGGACTGGACGAGGCTATCCAGCTCCCTGTGGGAAGGAAGGGTGGGGCTGAGTCACATCCCCAGGTCTCCCTCACAGGGTGGGCTCAGAACCCAGGGAACTGATACTGAGTGAATTTCCATTGTTCCAGCAGCCACCTCCAGCTCTCTGTGCCAGGCACCAGAGGGCAGCAGGGAGCACAGTATACACACACACACACACACACACACACACACACACACACACCACGCTCTGTCCCCACCAATCACTTGAAAGGAGGAGAAGGCTGTATCTGGACTTAGTCTGGGGATAAAGAGGGTTTCTCCAATGGTATTTAAGTAGAGAGGTGACCTGTAAGCTAGAACCTGGGTGGAGACAGATGATCTGGAACCTGGGAGGAGACATGCGAGCCAGAATCTAAGAGGAGCCATGTGAGCTTAGAACCTGGGAGGAGGCATATAATCTAGAACCTGGAAGGAAACCTGTGATCTAGAACCTGGGAGGAGGCATATGATCTAGAACCTGGGAGGAGGCATATGATCTAGAACCTGGAAGGAAACTTGTGATCTAGAACCTGGGAGGAGGCATACGATCTAGAACCTGGAAGGAAACTTGTGATCTAGAACCTGGGAGGAGGCATATGATCTAGAACCTGGGAGGAGGCATATGATCTAGAACCTGGGAGGAGGCATATGATCTAGAACCTGGGAGTTGAGTTGGAACTAGCCCCGTGCAAACTGTTCTGACAGAAGCGCCTCAGAAAGCTGTGGGGCACAGACGAGTTTGGCATATTTGAAGAGCCTAGAGCAGCCCTACCGGTCTTCAGCAGAGTGATGTGGGAGGGGCAGCAAAGATGGGGGAGGGGAGCTCACGGGCTGATTGGCCCCAGGGCTCCACTCTGTAAGCCAGAGGGGCCTCTGGAGTTGGGAGGGGTGGCCTGACCAGGTGTGCTCTGCAGTCACCATTCTGGAAGCTGGCAGGACAAGGGGGGGGGGGGGGACTGAAGCACTTGTCTAGCTGTCCCTGAATAATCTAGCACAGGCCTTTAGGTGTCCTGTGCAGGGGACAGTCACCCCGGTGGGGGAGGAAAGACAGCAAGTGTTCTCAAAAGTGTACTGGGAAATAAGTTCTAATGTATACCTCAGGGGAGGGAGGGCGGGGTTCTCAGAGCTTTCTCTGATTTCCGACTTGTAGATAAGGGACTGCGGCACCATGCTGGGTAAAAGGGCTCCGGACTAAGTCTTCAGGCCCTTAACCATTAGTACAGCTGTCCCCGGCCCAGAGAACTTTTGTCAGGGACCCAGACATAGTGTGGAAATGATTCTGGCACAAAAGGAACTATTAGGAGGTGTGGCTTTGTTGACAGAGTAGGTATGGCCTTGTTATAGGAACTGTGTCACTGTGGGGGAGGGGCTTTGAGGTCTCACACATGCTCAAGCCACACCTACTTCCTGTTGCCTCCAGGTCCAAATATAGGACCCTTATCTCTTACCTGCCTGCGCACCACCATGTCACGCCATGATGGTACTGAACTAAACCTCTGAAAAACGCAAGCTACTCCAATTAAATGTTTTTCCTTTATAAGAGTTGCCATGGTCATGGTGTCTCTTCACAGAAACAGAAACCCTAAGGCAGGGAGCATGCATCTATGTGTATGTGTGTCTATGTCTGTACACACACATGCCATTCCTGTATGTTAAAAAAGGTCAAGGAAGAAGTTGGGTGGTGGTGGAGTGTGCCTTTAGTCCCAGCACTCAGGAGGCAGAGGCTGGCAGATCTTTGTGAGTTCGAGGTCAGCCAGGTCTACAAGAGCTAGTTTCAGGACAGACACCAAAGCTACAGAGAAACCTTGTCTCAGAAGGGAAAGAAAAAAGGTCAAGGAAGACTTTCTAGGAAGAGCAGCATTTGGGCCTTTACAGATGCGTAGTTCTGCTGCTGTTCCTTAAAGTCCTTTGTCCATCTGCCCCTGCCCACCAGCACAGGCTGTTTGTGCAGACCCTGGGTCAGTTTCTTCCCCAGCAGACAAGGCATTCAAGAAGCGAAACATACAAGTATAGCCAGAAAACCAGGAGAACATTGTTCCAGAAAGTGGAGATTCCGGGCGGGGGTGTACAGAAATCTGTCTGAGTTCTCAGTTTTCTACTCCTCCCACAATGCAGTCTGAGGGGACGGGTAATAGAGTCCTTGGCCCAGGCTGGACCCACTTACTTGTAGGTCTGGTAGCTGTTTCGAACTTTGATGCCACCCTTGATGAAGCTCACCATGTTCTCGTCCTGTGGTGGGGAGAGATGAAGAGAACTGAATCCAAGGCAGGTAACTGTAGGCTGCAGGGTCACAGATGGCTATAGCCTTGACAGCCTTCCGCCCTGTTCCCAGACATATGACAGATGAAGCGGGAGTGGTCAGAGGTCACCCAGAGCAGACAGACAGACAGACACAGAGAGAGAGAGAGAGAGAGAGAGAGAGAGAGAGAGAGAGAGAGAGAGAGAGAGAGTCAACTGTGTGCCCCTCTGGGTAGAAGGACCATGCCAGATAAGGAAGGTTGCTCATTCATTTTTGGAACGTCAAAGGTAATTACTGTAAAGAATTATTTAAAGTCCCAGCGATCCCTAGCCTGTCTGGTGCCCCAGTCCTGGGTGTTGCCTCAGAAATGAATGGACTTGGACTAAAAGGCATTACCTGGAATGTCCACAGCATCAGTGTCCATGAAACCAAAACCAAATGCAACCAAGGCTCACTGTGGAAGCTAGGTAAACCAAGGCATGTTTACATAAGAGACATTATCCAGTCACTCAGAGATGGAGAACCCACGCTCCACACACTTGGAAGCCCCTGTGACACAAGAGCAGCCAAAGCAACAATACGCTGTTTAGACACAAACGGGATCACCAGTGCGGGATGGTGAGGAAGGTGACGGCTTCTGCGGGAAGGAGGCTGGGACAGAGTCGGGGCAGAGGGATGAGGCTTGCTGTGTAGGCTCAGCCTCCAGCAGAATCGGGGTACGTGTGTGATAATAATATATAATAAAATCCAAATAAAATAAAATGCCATTCTTGTCCTAGTGAGTCCTAAACTGAGGATTAGGATCAGTTCAACTCCGTCATCTGAGAGCCAAAAAGATTTTAAAACCTAAGGATACCTGCCTGCCACACACCGCGTCCCCGTGTCTGCGCTCTGTGTGCTAGAACCCAGTTCGTGAGCTTCGGGCAAGGGGCTGGAGGTTGAGAACACAGACGCAGAGACGGACCAACACGCAGACCTTTTAACACTGATACCAAAAGTTCAACGGTCAACAGGTGATAATCCCATCCTCTGATCCTCTAACTAGGCACAGCTTCTAGTAACTTATATTAGAAGGTTCTAGGAGGGAAGAGCAGCTGAAGGCCAGGACTCATTAATCCCAACACCTGCCCATGACACCGAGGAACCACAGCAGTGACGCGGCACGGCATGATAAGCCTACAGCACACTAAAGGCATGCATACCTTGGCAGTAACCAATAGCTCCATGATTGGACTCAAGACCCACTCGGTAAAAGGGACAGCGTGCCTATGTTTGGAAACCTAGCCAGCTACAAGTGCCATTAAAGCCCTAAGTATGGCAGGAGAAGCCAGACCCATTGATTTATTAAACCAGCCTAATCCCTAACAACAACTAGAAACATCTGTCTCTATACCCACAGCTATGTATAGTCTTCACCCCTCATCAAGGCAGATCTTTGCAACAGATGGAGACCATTACAGAAAACCCCAACCAATCAAAACACAGTGGTGGCACCCAGTCCCACTGGCTCCATCTACAGAACACTCCCATACCTAAGGCTCAGGGAACATTGGAAAGAGGGGGACAAAGATTGTAAGAGCCAGAGGATCAGGGAGTTGGCTGAGATTGTGTCTCCTAGGATGTCTGAAGCCATTCCCTAAAGTCTCATCACCATGGCTACCCAACAGTGAGTTGACCCAAGGATGACACCAATGGACACGCCAAAGTGGACAGGGGACAGCCCGCGAGGCCTTAACCTACACACAGAACTACAGGCAACTGAGGAAATCTGGGAGAGGGAGAGGTAGTCTTCTCCAGGAAAGAGCACACCATTGGTTGTCCAGTGCCAACTCAGCCCTGGAAACACAGATACAAGTAACAGTATACAGACTAAACAAGTTATATCTAGGAGCATATGTGTATACATATGTATCGTATATACATACATTTATTGCATGCAATAGCAGTTAGTGAAAAAAGAGGTCACAAATTTGAAGGAGAGGTGTATATGAGAGGGTTGAGAACAAAGCGAAGGGGAAAATGTTGTAATTAAATTATAATTTTTAAAAAAGAGCTAGCCAGGGGGTGGTGCACACTTTTAATCCCAGCACTTGAGAGGCAGAGGCAGAGGGATCTCTGAGCTCGGGGCCAGCATAGTCTCCACAGCAAGTTCCAGAACAGCCAGGGCTACACAGAGAAACTCCATCTTGGGAAGGAAGGGAAAAAAGAAAAGAAAACATACATACATACATATATGGAGTGATATACTGGTTCATTGGCTGTCCTTCCAGAGGCCTAGGTTCAATTCCCAGCACCCACATGGTGGTTCACAACTGTCTTTAACTTCAGCTCTAGAGAATCCAAATGCCCTCTCCTGGTCTTTGAGGGCACCAGGCAAGCATATAATACAAAGACATGCATGCAGGCAAAACACCCACACACACGAAATACAGTAATATTTTCTAAAATAAAAAGAGATAAGGAAGCCAAGGCATGGTGGTACATGCCTTCCACCATAGCACTTGGGAGGCAGAGGCAGCTGGATTGCTGTGAGTTCAAAGCCAGTTTGGTCTACAGAGTGAGTTCCAGATCTGTTAGAGCTGTATAATGAGACCCTGTCTAAAAAGAATAAGAAAACAACAACAACAACAACAAAAACAAGCTAAAGAAAATAAACAGCACCCAACACTAAAATGCATCTACCCTCCTCCAACACATGCACACACACGTGTGTGCGCACACACACGTGTGCAGTAACAATGTGCATAATTCCCGCTGTGTAGGAACTTGGCCAGCCGCAAATTCAAATTCCAGTTCTCTATTTGCTAATCCTGTGACCTTAGGGAGAAGAGACCTCCCCTCTAAGACTGCTTTGGGTCCTGTGAGGGCTTCAGTAAACACATCAGAGAGGACCTCGGGCTATGGGAGTTCTGCAAACAGGGCATCTCCAGGGACTAGGGAGACACACAAACCTACGGACAGAATTGATCCTTGGAGCCCATGGCCAAGCCAGATTCAGTGGAGTGTGTCATAATCCCTACCAGAGAATGGAGGCAGAGACCGAGAATCATCTGGAAGTTTTGAGGTCAGCGAGCCTCAGGAGCAGAAATTAGGAGAGCCTCTGCCTCAAAAACAAAGTAGGAGAGAACCAATTCCCAGAAAGTTCCTCTCTGGCCTCCACACATCTATCGCATGCTTTCCCCGTCCCAGTCACAGGCCCACATGTATACACACAGTCACGCACACACACACACATGCACTAAATATGTTAAAAGGTGGCGAGTGAGAGGAAGACACCTGATAACCTCTGCTCCCCACGAACACACACACAACACGCACAGGCAAAATGACAGATCTATAGACCTGCAGAAGCCCACTATATCATTTGCTACAAGTGTTTGTTGTACAAATTAAGCAAAGCAGTTTTGTGGCAATGCCTGTATCCATGTGACTCTTGACAGGAGCAGCAGCACCTCTGTGAGAACTCAGGGTGGGGGAGGAGGAAACACCTGCCCTCCTCATCCGCCTTGCCCAGGGTTGGGTTGCTGAGCCTCAGGCCTTGCCACCTCTGAGGAGCCGAGTCATGCTTGGACTCCAGGACTGACCCAGAATTCCAAGGCTCTCTGCACATCTCTGGTGTGGGCTGGGATGAGGGAGCTTCCTTACCTGCAGGAAGGTCAGGGCCGCTCTCTGCAGCAGGCACTCAGCATAGCAGACCTCTGCGTGGATCTCCTCTGCAGGAAAAAAGCAAGGGTGGGAGGCTCAAGTAAAGCCATATTCCCTCTGGGGTACATGAAGTCACAGAGGCCTTTTCTACACAGTCCCGGGGCCTGAGGAGCAAAGCCACAGTTTTCAGGCTTCCAGGTGCTTAGCTAATAATGTTGTTGGGGGGCTGGGCTTCTCCTGTTCTATCCCTTCCTCCAAAGGCCCCAGGCCATAGCTCCTTGGGGACAGTGAATGAAGAACTTTTCTCTCCTCCCCTCTACTTCCCCCTCCCCTCCACTCTGCCCTCCCCTAACCCGTCACCAGAGCCCATGCCAGGAAAGGCATTTCGGAAGCCCCACCTTCTGTGAACTGGTCCATGGTGGGACGGTGCACCAGGTTGCTGAAAGAGTCTGACACAGAAGACTTCCTCCGATGCCTGGAGAAGGAAAAGGGGCTCCGGTGATTCCTGAGGTTCAAAGAGGGGCCAGCCTAGGTCTTACTTGTCGTAAAGTAGACACTCTTTGCTAGGCTTTCAAATACTTGAAGGCTTGTAGGCACCTCCCACAGGCCCCTCCAGACTGAGGTCCACAGCTCTCCCAATCCAGGGCAGACTTGCTGGGATCCTTCCTCCCTTCTTCACCCTGCTGAGGTCCAAACTCAGAGTACCCCATATGCTAGACAAGAGCTCTACCAACTGAGTCACAAGCCCAAGCCCTAGTTGAGACCTAAAGATTTCCTGAATCACCAGGGCCTGGGCTAGCACAGAGGTGAGTGTGTGCCCCGTGGCCAGCGACCCCACTGATGCACACATTAACACTCCGGGACAGTTAGTTCACTCATAGACTGTGGGCTAAACTCACTCAAGTACGCACCAGGCCCTGCCACCAGGTCACCAGGGCAACCCCGGTGACACATGCATCATCACGGGCCCCTTTTATAAATGAAGAAAGTTGAGTTCTGAGAGGGGCCTGACCAAGACAGAGTGAAAAAGTGGCAGACAGAATCCATTTGCTCCTCAGCGATCGGCTCCGACAAGGCTCTACAGCCGTGCCGACAGGGCTAGCTCTCGGCACTGGAGGACACGTGTCCTCGGCAGCGGCAGCAGCAGCAGCAGCGCGTAGCCAGCACGCCAGGCACGTGGGTAGGAAGGAGACGGCGGGGTGGGCCTCGCTGCCCTATCCCACACCAGGCCCGTGGTTAGGAGGAGACGGCGGGGTGGGCCTCGCTGCCCTACCCCTGCCCCCACGGCTCCCACCTCTGACACAGCGACTGTGCTTCCTTCATCATGTCGCCAGCAAGCAGGATGTCCTGGGGGTCGAAGGTCATCATGGCCTGCATCTCCAGGATGGTGGCATACGTCAGTGAGTGGTACATGCTCTCCTTGGTTCTGCAGGACAAAGCGGACACTGAGAGCACCAGAGGTGGCTGGGCTGGCTGGCTGCGGGGGGGGGGGGGGGGGGGGG